GGGAAATAAATTTTATTAAAAAAGAAATAATATTTTAAAAAAAAGGCATAACTATTAGAAATAAATATTAACAATCCAAACTTCAATTTCAAAACCCTATTACAAATAACCATCAATTAAAGTTAGAATTACACAACTAAAATCATGGGTATATCATACCCGATTTTTAAATATAAAAAAAAAAAAAAATATAAATCTTTATTTGAAATATTTTACATGCAGGCACTTCAAACTTTGTACTTTGAGTTAACATTAATAGGAACTGAAAAACATTATTTAGGTAAGAAAATCATAATACTGAAAATTGTAATTAAAAATAGGAAAAAATGCACTGGGTTACTATATACCCATGGTTTGTGTTCTAAGGTTAAAAAATTGCATAATACGATTGAGTAATAACAAAAAAATTTTTCATGTACCTCCAAATAAAAAATAAAATTATAATGTCATAATTTTTAAAAATATTTAGTAAAATGCTCAGTAAAGCTCACCAAATAATAATAATAATAATAATAATTGTTAAGGTCCGGTTCCTTGTACCACGGTGATAGTCCAAGGTAGAACCAATAAAGAAGAACTCGAACACGGATATGGAATAACACAGATATATTACAAACAGGAATATATACAGAGAAGTAGAAAGTGTTAGTACGAACAATCAGGTTTAGTAGAGAAAAACATTGTAGTCTCAACCAGTATCACTATTCCAATGTCTTGCAGTAATTGTCTGAACGCGACTCTGTTTCGGACTGCCTCTGACTCGACTGAATCTTGACTCAACTCTAAATGACAGACTCCTGAATTAAAATCTGACGGACCTCATTCAGACTTCAGACTAACAGTATTTAACCTGAGAAATTATTACGAGGGCGTCAATGCCATGGCACAAGGCCGGTTTAACGTGGGATCTCCAATCCCTCTCCGAAAATGGGCAAAAAAATGCCCTCTGAACCTGATTATAAACGGGTTTCAGGGTCGGTTTACCACCCGAAAGAGATGTCCGCCCTTCAATAAAGATATCGTTCGTGTTCCTCCCCACCCAAAGGCAGAGATTTCAACCGATCAGCCGGTCAAAAAAATGCCCGACTTCAGACTGAACCCCCTGCTTCCTCTTGAGACGCAGTATTTATTACGTATGGAAAAGAAGTCCATTATGTTATTAAAAACAACCCAAAATAAAATAATAATGGAATTAAAAAAAAATAAAAAGAAAAAAAGCCAAATGAAATTAAAAAAAACATGTGAGGACAAGGCGTTGCATGACAAATACATAAAAAACGAAAAAGCAGATGTGGACCAACAGAAAACACATCATTAAGGAGCACTGGGCTGAAAGTTGAGACAGAAGACCAAATTATTGCAGCTCAGGACCAAAGCCTCGCAACCAGAGCCTATCAGTGTCACATAATCAAGGATGGAACTAAGCGGAAATGCAAGATCTGCGGAAAATATGATGAAACTGTTGACCATATTATCTTAGGATGTCCGAAACTAGCAAAAAATGTATATACTCACAGACATAGCAAGATAGCGACATACGTGTACTGGAAGAAGCAAGAAGCACAAAATCGAAACCACTGAGAGATGGTATGTGCACCAACCAGGCACAGTTACCTAAAATAACGATGTAACTATCCTCTGGGAGATGCCAATTCAAACTATCAGGGAGATAAAAGCCAATAGACCTGATATTATCATAAAAGACAAGAAATTCAGGAAGTGTATGCTTATTGACATAGCAGTACCATCTGAGAGAAACATCTCCATAAAAATTATCGAGAAATTGTCCAAATACAAAGACCTGGAGATCGAGATTAACAGGATGTGTGGAATGAAGACTGAGACTGTACCAATAGTAATCGGAGGACTGGGCCTCGTGAGAAAAGGAATGGAGAATTTTACTAACAGTGTCCCAAGTAACATCAACGTAGAAGTTTCCCAGAAAATCGCCCTACTAGGAACAAATCCCATACTAAAAAAAAGTGCTATCAATTAAATGACAATTCTCCTATAAATTAAGGACCATGGTTTGGACCCGGCTCTACAGGATACAAAGAAACAAACATAACATACACAAATAATAATAATAATAATAATAATAATAATAATAATAATAATATATACGAAAAATAAGTCCAAATAAAAGGACTTGGAGATGGCGATTAAATAGGATGTGGTAAAAAAGAATGGGATATAATGTACCAATAATAATCGGAAAATTTCTTTTCCTTTCTGAAAATAATGGACAATTTTATTAACAGTGTCCCAATTCATCAAATAATTTTACAAGTTGCCCAGATGATCGCCCTTCAAGAAACATCCCATAAACTAAAAAATGCTAAGCAATTAAATTGAAAATTCTCCTATAATGTCTAAGAACCATAGTTTGGACCCAATCTACAAATTACAAAACAATGAAATATAAAAAAAACCAAATAATAATAATAATAATTATTAATTAATAATTATTTAATAATAATAATCTATTAAATAAATGAATTTAAAAATAAATATTTTTGGAAAATGGATGTCTTGAGGATTCACTGAACTTGTGTTTTTCTTTACTTATTAAATTAATTATTATTTTCTCTTAACTCGGCGAATCAAAAAGAATCATTTTGAATCCACATAAAATTTATTGATTTTCATCTCTTTGATAATATGCGGCTATAATAAAAAAGATTTCAAACGAAAATTTATAAAATAAAAAATTATAAACAAAAAAAAAAATTCTTTAATATAATAAATTTTTCCGTATATGTATTTGAGGTTTCATTTGATTGTTTAAAAAACCGAAAAATAATCAGGCAATCCACAAAAAAAAAAAAAAAATTAAGATCAAATTATATGACAAATTACATAGTTTACAGGGTCTGTCGTCTGAAATATTGAAATAAATTACGATTATGTCATGCCAATTAACCAAAAAGAATTCTAAAAATAACATCTAAAATGACGAATAAAAATGGTAAAAAAACACACGTATTTAAGGTTATTTTATCTTTATCAAATTAAAACGTCGCATTTTGGTTTGAAATATTTAATTTTGTTATGAAATGTTTATAAATTAAACCGATGTAATTAAAAAGAAATAGAAATATCATGAATTGAACAAATATATATATATATATATATATATATATATATATATATATATATATATATAAATAATTAATTAGTTTTTTTATCATATTTTCTCAAATCAGTAACCCTCTTGCGACTTAGTGGCTTTAAAATTTTAAGTTGAATTTTTTCGAATCGCTTAAAAAAATTGAAATATATTTTTGAAGATCATTTGTCCATAATATTAGATATTCGCCTTGAAGATAAGAAGATCCACGATTTCCATATCTTAGGATGCCGAATTATCTTATTGTGTTTTTTTATATACTGAAGGCTGTACGGAAGATTTAAACAAATTTGTTGTTCACTTAACCCCAATCGATAATCACTTTTGTTAGCAGGAAAATTCATATTTTGCAGATACAAGATTTGACTATACAAAAAAGAAATTTTCTTAACAAACAAAGATAGCTAGATAGATAGATATAATACAGACTTTATAATAGATAGATAGATGATAATAAATTGTTACAGACTGGGATTGAATGGTAAGAAAATTTAATATAATAGGATATATAATAGATAGATATATAAATATATACAGATTTATATATATATAGATATCAATCTTATATATGAATGTAATGAAATCATATTTTTTTTAATACTGAAAATAGAAATAGAAAATATTAAATAGATAGAATTGAAAATTAAGGATGGAAAATAGATATTCAACAACATTGAATAAACCATATATTTATATATATATATATAAATCTGAAAAATAAACTCTTCTTCAGATAGATAATATAGATAGAACAGATATATATTTTAAAATATATTACTATAGATAAATAGATGTCACCCATTTAATTTAAAAATATATTCCTTGATTGAATTTGATTTTAAATATATAGATATTATATTAATGAACATACTGAGATAAATATATAAAAATATTAAAATGATAGATAGATGAAAATTTCAAACATATATGATTTCTATAAATGTTGTAATTAAGATAATAAAAATTGATTTAGATAGATATATATATAATAGATAACTGTTTTATATTTCTGATTTTTATGATATATATTACATATTTATTTACATTATTCGGACTATTGTCCTATTCATCTTTGTCGCCATATTTTGATTGACAACGTTTCGTCTGTTCAAATCTAATTGAACTTCAGGTGGTTGGAATTTCTTACTGAACCCATTTAATTTAAAAACTGGGGTAACTGTTCTCTAGTTCCAGTGCCATGTTTGAAAATGTCAAAATCAGTTATCTCCTGCTAATTTCCCTCTGAAAGTTCTTGAAACTGCCTTAATCATTTATTTTAAATATTATTCTTTGGGTCCTGTCACTGGATCTAACCAAAAATTCCTTTATCCACTGTGCCATAAACTAAATGGTTAAATGAGGACAATAGTCAAAAATAATTTAAATAAGATTGTATTCCACTTAAATTACGAAACTTAATAAAAATATATATATATATATACCCAATATATTATATAAATATATATTTAAATATATATATATATATTCTATATATATTATATATATATATAATATATATATATAAATATTATTTGATATATTAATTTAAATTTCGAAAAAGAGTTAGATAAAGAAACCATAAAAGTTCATTGGAAGAGAAAAAGATGAATATATATTTGAACACATAAATATAAAAATAATCATAATGAATTCAACATTTATAAACTATTTATTTGTCGTGTTTCATATCTACTCCAAGATTTGAATAAAAACGAACAAAAGACAAAAAAAAATGTCAAACATTCTAACCAGACAACGTTTACTATTTTTTTATTGACTTAATCACGTGACGAGAAAAGAGATGAAAGTTAATCATTTGATAATTAATTTCATAATCAGCTACGATTAAATTTTCAGTCTTTTTAATTGCTCAAGGAAAACAGAGAAAGAACACGAATAAAAATGTTAATAAGTCGAAGAGAATCGATGAAAAATAAAAAAGAAGGAATGAGAGAAAGTGAAAAAATAAAGAAAAGTCAGAAAGAAAAATGAAGATAGCAAACAAAAGGAAAAGGAAAGAACGAAGAAAAAAAAAAGAAAAACGAATGAACAAACGAAAGAGGGAAGGAAGGAAGAAGCGAACGAACGAATGAAGGAACGAAGGAGCGAAAGGACTAAGGAAGGAAGGATAAAAGGAAGGAATGAACGAACGGACGAAGAAATGAAAGATCAAACGAATGAACGAACGAGAGAACGAAGGAAGTAAGGAACGAAGGAACGATCAAACGAACGAACCAATGAACGAAAGAACGAAAGATGAAAATAAGAAAAGGAATTTCATTCTATATTATTTCGAACGAAGAAATGAGCGAACGAACGAAGAAAAAATTTTAAAGGAAGAGAACAAGGAATTTTGAAGGAAGGAAGGAAGGAAGGAAGGAAGGAAGGACGACCGAACGAAAAACGAGATATGGAAGAAAGCTTAACTGGCAGAGACCCAAAGAGGCTTAACAAAGGAAAGGAATTCAAATAAACTTGAAAAACGAACGAAAAAATAGAATTGAAAAAAAGCAAAAAGGGTAGACAGAGTGAGAGAGAATGAATAAGGGAGGAAATTGGAAACATATTAAGAATGTAAAAGATGACACATGGGTAAAAAGTGACGAAGAGGCGAAAAAAAATTTTCTGTCTCCAAAAATGAGTAAAAAAAAGTAAATTCTGAAAAAAAAAAAATAAAAAACAAGGAAAGAAAATGAAAGAAAGAAAGAAAGAAAGAAAGAAAGAAAAATATGGGGAGAAAAGATAAAATGAATGAATGAAGGAAAAAAGCGAAGAGGAACTAACGAAACAAAAGAAAAGAATGAAAAAAAAGAAAAATGAAGGAAAGGGGAATAAAAGAAAGAAAAAGGAGTGGAGGAAAAAAATGGAAGAAGAAAGAAGGAACAGAAAAAAAGAGAAAGAAGGAGAAAAAGGAGAGAGGAAAGATGGAAAGATGAAATAAGGGAAGGAGGATAAAAAAGAAAGGGTAGTAAGAAAAGAAGGAAGGAAGGAAGGAAGGAAGGAAGAAGGAAGGAAGGAAGACAAAGGATTGGTAGGAGGCAGACAGTAGAAATGATGAGAAGAGAAAAGAGAAGGGAAGATGAAAGGATGGGAAAAGAGTTGAAGGAGAGAAAAGGAAGGGAGGAAGGAAAGGAAGGGTAGGAAGGAATAAAGAAAGAAGACGGAAGGAAGCGAGAAGAAAGGGTGAAGAATGGTCAGAATTGAAGTAGAAAAAATTACCACTGTGAAGGAAGATATAGATGACAAAAGGAAAAGAAGAGAAAAAATGAGAAAGAAATGAAAAGAAAGAAATGAAAAGAAAGAAAGGAAAAGAAAGAAAGGAAAAGAGAGAAAAGAAAGAAAGAAAGAAAGAAAGGAAGGAAGGAGAAAAGATGATGAAAGAAAAAAATTGAAGTAGAAGAAAGTTGGTCTGAAGAAATGTAGAGATGACAAAAGGAAAAGATTAGAAAATGAAACGAAAGGAAGGAAAAGGACGGAAATAAAAGAGAAGGAAAGAAGGAAGAGAGAAGAAACAAAAAAGAAAAGAAAGTAGAGAAGAATAAAAATTTAAGACTGTGAAGTAAGACAAGATGACAAAAGAGAAAAAAAAGAAAGAAAGGAAAAGGAAGAGGAGAGAAGGAAGGAAGAACGGAAACAGCAGAAAATAAACAAACATCAAAAAGAGATTAAAAGCTCAAAATAAGCGTCATTAAATAAAACATCAAAAACTCCTACTCTGATACTATTTGTCGTTGCCGCGGTGAAACGGAAGAAAGTGTTATTAGAAACATTGAAACGAGAAGGGTTAATACCAAAAATCCGTGGGACGATATATTACAAACAGGAATATATACAGAGAGGTAGAAGTGTTAGTATGACAATCAGGTTTAGTAGAGAGAACAATGTAGTCTCGACCAGTATCACTATTCCAATGTCTTGCAGTAATTGTCTGAACGCGACTCTGTTTCGGACTTCCTCTGACTCAACTCTTGACTCGACTTGAACTACTGACGATATTCAGTCCCCCTCCCCCCGATGAGGGCGTCATGTGGCACAAGGCCTTTTTAACGTGGGATCTCCGAGCCAGTGGGTGAGTTCTTCGAGTGACGTTCACGGTTGGCGGCTAGAACAGTCTGTTAGTGTGATTTTGAGACAGAACTCAAGAAGGAACGACTCAAGGTTAGGAGAGCTTGAATTTACTCGTTGGTTGCTGTTTTCTTTTTATTCTCCTCAGTTGTACGATTAAACGACAGAAAGTAATAAAGGAAAGCGAAAAAGAAATGACTAAATATCAATTGCAAGAAGACAGAATGCATATGGTTGTTAGAAAAAGATACAGACCACCATGCGAATTACAAATTGGGGATGCCAAAATCGAACAAGTACAAAACTTTAAATAACTAGAAGTGTTTTAACAGAGGACAGCAAGTGCAACTCCGAAATTTGGAGGCGCACTGGCATAGCGAAAAATGCCTTCCAAAAAATAAGTAAAGTATTAAGATACAAGAAAATTTCGTTACAAAAAAATAAAAGAATGTTGAATTGTTACGTGATATATAAGTCCTCCTATATGACAGTGAATGGTGGACAATCTCAGCACAGATAAAAACGAGACTTCAAGCATCAGAAATGTGGTACTACAGAAGGATGTTGAGGATACGATGGACCGAACATGTGAGCAACGACGATGTTTTAGAGAAAATGGAAACGAAAGGGGACATTTCTATTTAACATCATGAAGGGAAAGTTGAAATTTCTAGGGAAGAAGATGAAAAAGAATGACGAAGATGAAGAACGTAGAGGAAGAGAAAAGAAAAACGAGAAAGATATAGGAGGTGGGAGAAGAAGAAGAAGAAGAAGAAGAAGAAGAAGAAGAAGAAGAAGGTAAAATAGGTACACAGCTGAAAAAACAAAAAAAAATAATCACAGAGAGAAGATGATGAAGAAAAAGGAGGAGGAGGAGAAGCAGGAGAAGATGAAAAAGAATATCGAAGAGTAAGAACGAAGAGAAAGAGAAAAAGAACGAGAAATATGTAGGAGGTGGAGGAAGGTGATGAAGAAGAAGATCAGCAAACAAAAGACAAAATAGGCACCCGACCGAAAAAAACAAAAGACAGAATCATACAGAGAAGAAGAAGAAGAAGAAGAAGAAGAAGAAGAAGAAGAAGAAGAAGGAGAAGAAGAAGAAGAAAACGGAGGAAGAGGAGGAGGGGGAGGAAGAGAAGAAAATGGAAAAGAATAACAAAGATGAAGAACGAAGAAGAAGAAAAAAGAGGAACGAGAAAGAAGATGAAGGCTAAGGAGAAAGAAGATGAAGGAGGAAGACGAGAAGAAAAAAACGAATAACGAAGAAGGAGAAAAGAAAGAAGCTAAAAAAGAACGAGTCAAAAATGGAAGAAAAAAAAAAGCAGGAGAAAAACAAGAGGGAGAAGAAAGGAGAGAGAAAAGGGAAAAATAAGGAAGAGAAAAAATAAGGAGGAAAACAAAGAGAACAATACAAAAACAAGAAGAAAAAGATGGAGGAGAAAAAAGAAGGAAAAGAATTGCCATACAGTGGATACTTGGAACAAATAAAATAGAAAGACTAAACTTTTTACGGAACAGATTGATGGTGCAT